CTGAAGATTTATTTGGAGTTAATTTTATTAATTTACTCGTTTATACATTTTTTTGAACAATTTTTTGTAATTGCAGATTCGTGTGACTATTAAAGTTTCATCACTATGCATTTAAAGTGATAAAGTGATTTTTTTATTTCACCTTAAACATTTTTAAATTCGAACGCTGTTTATCATTATTCAGTTCATTAAATTCAAATATTCCCTTTTGAAATACGGATTTGCCGATTATGATACTGTTCCAATTTTACAGATAAAAATCTATACTGCCTCTAGTTTCGTAAGTGATGATAATGACCATTTAATTTTGTGAAGTTTTCTAGGAATAGGAAGTAAAAAACCTGCACATATCCTGTTCTAAGTAATAAAAGACTAACTCCATTTTCTTTAAAGAAACATGTTAGACATCAACCTCCCTCGTGATTATTCCTAACAACTTTTGTATTCTACTTGTGTGGAGTTGTGTGCTGTATTCCATCTACTTTATGCTATTTTTAAGGTTGTCACATATAGAATTTGAGTACATAAAGCAGGTGTATAATGCGTACGACATATCTAAAGAGTTCCTGTATAACTATAAACACACTGACGTTGAAGTACTGGCCTTCAGAACTGGTGGAAAAACGTGGATGATACGACCTGACGAGAAGAAAAGGCTACTCAAGATTATCAATGGACGTAAGATATGATTTACAGTACGGAAGCTATTGTCTTTAAAAATATAAGGTTTATGAATATAAAAAGATATTAGTCATCTCTTCGAATTGTGGCTGAACGCAAGTACTAGCTGTTTCAGTAACCGATTTGTAGAAATAATAATATTTCCTTCTTCAGGGCTCTACAAACAATTTGAAGCTTTACATATACATTGATCAAGAATTCCAATAATAAGATCGAGATACGTAAAAGATACTTATTTTGGTCAAGGCATTTTATGACGTATAGTTACATAATTGCAGAATGCTGTGATTTTTGTTACTAAGGCCTACTGGCTCAACTTCTAACTTCATTTCTAGTTCACGAAATCTTGATCTTTCAGCTCATCCTCTGCCAGTTCGCATGTCGTGCAAAGTTATATTGCCAGCTAGAGAGGAACAGAAGGTAATAGATATATCGGCAAAGAAGATGATGTTTCCTTATTCGACCAGTCGATCTGACGCTGCCAAACTAATTGAAGGTGAAGAGGTAGAACATCCTCTAAAAGTCAGATATCTGTTGCCGAAGTTCCTCAAGATCGAGCAGCGGGGTAAGGGGAACGTGGTGAACGTCCTTATGCTCCCTGAGTCAGACGGTAAGCCCACAAGTCTACGATTTTTATAATCCATAATAGGACTTGGACTTGGCAGTGAAAAGCGTAACCAGAGAAAAACTCGCCGAGGTTTCATCAGCCAAGTAAAACAGCTTTTCAAATAGGCCCAATTGTTTTTGAACGGTTCAACTTAGCAAGCTGAAGTTTGTGGTAATGAGTGCCTGTGCACTATATTTCAACAGTTTTTAAATTGAACGGGTGGTCGTATGAAGCTCCTTTTGAGTGCTTTGTGACCCAAAAATACTCCTAGTGAAAATCTATCAAATTTGGAGATATCCCCCAACTTGGCAACCCTGTCAAAGCACCGCTGATAGCCTCAGTAGACGTCAAAACGTAACTGACACTCCTGAAAAAGACCATAAATCAGAGTTTATTTAATCTAAATATTTTTGTGAACTGCCACATCAGTATATTTCAAATTTGCAGATGATGATCATGCAACTGGATCACGGAATGTCAGCTTCCGTTCTGTGTTGGCGGCCGAACAAAACGGCCGAGTATGGTGGGACATCAGTGAAGAAACCAATGACGCAAATTACGAGGCATTCCTTCAAAAAATGCCTTATGGTTCTGCGCAAAGCAGTCACCTGGTCATCTTTACTTTCTCGGATAAAATTGTGCATTCGTTTTTCAGCCTGGCCACGGGCGGCTCGTAAGTATTTCTTATTTTTTCGAATAATTTCTATCCCTTTTTATAGTAAAGATATTCTTATACTGTCAGACCAAATAGTAGTTATATCAAGAGAAATATATATTACTTCGGGAAATACCTTTATAAACCGCCAGTCGGCCCCATTGACCTTGGGAGTCTTCTACAAGTGCTTTCACTGTTTCGTATTAAAAATGAAAAATATACTTGTGACAAATAGCGCCATCTGTTGGGCGAGTCTCCTACTCGCCAGAGCTTAATGGCCGATCTCTGGTTTTACACAACCGGCGGCGTCTGTGAGGGCCGTGACAGTGGTTCTCCTTCTAGATCGACGCGAAGTGATCTCCAACATTCTAGATGTCGCTTGTGGTCTTTCTCGCAGTGGTAATTGGGATTATATATATATATACAGGGTGACTTCGAAGTTGAGTCATTTATTTTAACAGTGAGTAGATCTGATCAAAAGAAATGTTTTTTTCCTTTACCATTTTTCTGGTAAAATTAAAGTAACAAAGTTATAGCCCTTTGGAAGTTTGAGTACCGCCCTGTCTCAATAATAATATCATGTGCTCGTGTTTGGCAACAACGGATATAATCCGCCTTATCGGTTCATCGCATCGGAAACAAAAAAGCGAAAGAATTTGGAACGATGTTTTTACAATTATTTTATTCAGTTCAGTTATACATACAGTTAGTGTCAGTCGGTAACGCGTGTAAATAGTGTCTGTTGCGTGGCTCAAACGAAATAAAAAATGGCACATGCTTATGCGGATCGGTTTCCCAATCGAGTGCAACCAACCGCTCGTGCCTTTGTTAATGTAGTACAACGGGCTCGTGAATCAGGTGACTTAAGACCTCACAGGGGACCTCACGATCAAATACAGGTCCGCACTGAAATACTTGTCGGGAGGATACTTTATAAAACAAGGTAACATTTTTTTTTAATTTTTTTTTTATTTTTACACACATATTTTGGTTTATCTTCCTTCTACAATCATTATCTGAAAATTAATGACTCAACTTCAAAGTATATATATATAACTCGGCGGCCGGGAGATAGTGGTGTATATAAATGCGTTATCGAATTAAATAAATTAGTGCATTTCTTTTTCGTGGAATCGAGTGTTTTAATTCACACCCAAAAGAACCCAGAAAAACGCTACACACTTTTTAAATTAGACCTACATCTCCATCTTGAGATCTTAAAAATCGAAATTAGTATATTCCGTTTTCCTGAGGCAAACTCTATAAGAACTGAAACTGATAGAGGATGTTTGGTTTGTTCTAGGATCATAACATTCTACACTGTGTTCCTTTATGTCGTTCATGGTTGGTCTCGTGAAATAATTTCGAAAAGACTGAACATGACGTGGCTGTACGAGCTATCACAAGCAGATGTCGTGTATGCGCTGTGCAAGGAGGTAACAGCATACATTTTATTATTACCGTTTGTCATGAAGGTAGATCTTTTTTACATATTGACCACAGCACAGTGGAACGAAATCCCAGTTTGGCGGCCAGAAGTCTTAAAGGTGGTTTTTATGTTTTTTTTTTAACTAGAACTTTATGAGACACTCTCGTGCATCGGCGCTTACGCGACTGTAAATTGAGAGTTTTTAAGTATAAAAAAATAGATTCTCCTTTTACTATTGTCTGAATTCTAGTTAAGTGGGAGATAAAACGGTGAACTTCCTAAAATCTGAAGACAGTTTATAAATAACATTTTTTTAATAAGTTCTTGCTTTTATACATGCTCATTAAGGCTGAAGCTGCATAATTCTGCACTTCAAAACACAATTTCTTATGAAAAAATATCGTTTCTTGAAAATTGAAAATCGTTCTGGTAAATTGGTACTCGAGAAGTTTTTCGAAATAATCGTTACCATTGAGTTTCTGTCAGGACGATAAAAAGAAGATGAGCATGGGTCTGCACAAATGTCTGTGCTTGTGAGCCAAATATTAGGTTCCAACACCAAACACACAATGCGAGTCGTACATTTAATTTCGCAAAAAGTGTTTAAATAATTAGTAAAATATTAGATGTCGATTTTCGTGACATGTTTATTTTTATAGAGAAATAGTTTTATAGAAACTCATTGTTTTTTGAAATCCGAAAGTGGATAAGTAAAGCCGGGTCGTGGAATTTTAGTTTTGACCTTTTCTTGTTTCTGTGTAGGTGTACATATGCAGAGAAGCAGGCATGTGGGATTTGGAAGAAGTAGCGGCGGCTAGAGTGTTCTTTATGATGAAATCCGGAGAGACTTGTTTCAAACTAAGCCGTTTCCATGGAATTCCCTATAATCCTAGTACTTACAAGACATTGCCAACTGTGCCAAGGAGAACCTAAACAATTTTGAACAAGTTTGAAGCAATTCAGGAAAATCTAATTCTATTGTTGTGTTAACTTTATACTGTTTGGTTATCTAAATATCTTATATTAAGTATCTTTGTGTTTTCTTCAAAATAACTCTAATGAACGTTGCACTCCAGTCCTTACAAAATGATCTTCTATGTAATGCTGGACCAAATCATTCCTCTTGGTGATTCGATTCCATGGTTTTAATTTTGGTCTCGAATCCGATTAATTCGCGAATCATTTTAATTACGATTTTCGAATTCCAAACCAATCGGTGCTAATGAACGCTTCAATTTACACGTCGCTATATCTTAGTATAAAAATTGACTTCTTGACCTGACCTGTGATACGTGTGCAACCTTCCCGCCCCGTTACTAGATAGATTCCTAAATCGATCCTTGAACGCGATTGAAGTACTTTTCTGTCATCTGTATTTTTCACTATGATACCTGACCTGGAGAGCTGTACATATAGTTGCTTCAGCTGTTTTTTCCAGGAAAAATGTTCCGTATCCATTTCTACAATTAAATTCAATATACAGAATATTTGAAATCAATGTGAAGTGGATATTGTAGATCTCAAGGTAAACCGCTAACGCTGGCAACACCGCTTGCTACAACTACAACATGAAGTTAGTGGCGAAGTGAGGTCGGCTAACCGGGTTCGCGAAAAAGTGCCTAAAATGGTGAAATGTCAAGAAACAAATGTCACTGTCAGTTAGATGTCAAACTATTTTTGGTTATGTTGATGAAAACACAAACGTAACAACAATATAACATTTTTTCGTGGTTCAAAAAGACTTTTGAACGGTTGTTAGTGAAATAATCCAAAAAAATGGGCGAGCGCAAAGGCACAAACAAATACTACCCCCCGGACTACGACCCAAAGGCCGGGGGCCTCAACAAATTTCTTGGCACACATGCACTAAGAGAAAGAGCTAGAAAAATCGACCAAGGAATCATAATTATCCGATTTGAAATGCCCTACAATATTTGGTGTGAGGGTTGCCAAAATCATATAGGAATGGGCGTTCGATACAATGCTGAAAAGACAAAAGTTGGGATGTACTACACCACCCCAGTTTATCAGTTCAAGATGAAGTGTCATCTTTGTGATAACCACTTTGTGATTAAGACTGACCCAGCTGTAAGTACTTTAACATATTTTAATTCAGATTATTCTATTTTGTTAGAAGGTCCTCCTCAGGGGTCACTTAAGGCTGGATAATCAACCACCCCAAACTGTTGTTATTTTTTGTATGGGGTTATAGGGAGAGACAGGTCTTATTATACTTGCTCATTTCACAATTGTCTTTTATTTGATTAATGTATGGTCACAATTTCACAAAAAAAAAATAGCTTAAGAAGCACTAAAATGCTGATTTACTATTTATTTATAGAATCTAGACTATTTAATACTTTCGGGAGCGAGAAGACAAGAAAACAGGTGGGACCCATTGAAAAATGAACAAGTTGTACCAGAGACTAAGGAAACTCAAAAAAGGCTATTTGATGATTCTATGTACAAACTCGAACATGGAAGTAAGGACACAGCACTTGCAGAAAGTGCAAAACCAAGATTAGCAAATCTTTTCAATAGAAATGAAGATGTTTGGGCTGATTGTTATACAGCTAATCAAAAGTTAAGAGCACAGTTTAGGGTAAGATACTCTTCTTTATCCAGACCATAATGCAAAAGCTACTTGATAAACAGGAAAGAAATTTTAATTTATTAACATCTGCATTGCCTAAATCAAAGTCTCTGTTTCAGAAAGATATATAAATATTTTATGGTCAACCTTAGTTTAAGTTCTAAGAAAACTTCAGACATCAGTGTGTTCAAAAACATTTTTTCTCAAATTGAATGGTTAGCCTAAGACTTCTGAAGATATTTGGGGACTTTCAAAATAATATCCTTATCTTTCACTCTCACAGTAGTTGCTTATAGTAATAGATGGCACTTATGATATTGTCTTTGGATTAACCTTAGACCTTTTATATAGGAAACGTTCTGCTTTCATTCATTCTCTTGTCTAGAGACCTCAACTATCCTTATGATTGACAGTTTGTTGGTTGGGTGGACAAAAGTAGTATTAATAATGCTTATCTTTGTTTTTGTTGCAGAAAACAAATTGTGATTTGAAGAAGCAAGTAGCAAAAGATAACATGCTATTAAAAAAATCTAGCCTAGATATTCCTTTACTAGCTGAGAGAGAAGAAGACAAAAAAGTAGCATCTCTCTTAAGCATGAAGCTCAAGTCAAATAAGAGTATTGCTGAGAACACAGATCAAATAAGGAAGAAGATTATATCTGAGTCTTCACTGCCTGCTAGTAACTTTTCAAGGATCAAGGAAGAAAAGGCTGTGAAAATGTTGACTTCAGCAAAGAAAGATTTGGGTGTCATCAGAAAGAATAATTTAACAAATTCGTCTGCTATCTCAAATATTGTTAGTTGTAGTTCAAAGATGAGAGGTAACGATGTTACTAACGGTCCAGAAGATGCTGTAGGTTTAGAAAAAAATAGTGAGACCAATGTTGTCAATGCTTCAGCTGAAGGTAATGCCGATCAAGAGGACACTAGTGATCAAGCAATTTCAAGTCAAGGAACCAGAAAAGAATCATTTGAACAATTACAGACTTCCAAACATCAAATTACTGATATTACTAGTGATAATGATAGAGATGCAGAAAACATATCTTGTAAAAAATTTAAGTCTAATGTTTCTTTAGTTGGTGACTATGGATCAACAAGTGAGTCTGAGTGAGACTGTAGATGTATATTAATATTTGCAGAAGTATTTGACTGTCAATTATTGCTCATCATGTGAAGAAAGAAAAGCAAACACTGTAACATCATTCAATCAGCATGATGTATAGTTGATCCTGATCATGATTTTTGCAGAATGTTTTGGTCTGAGGTATGAGGAAGGTGGAAAATACAAAATGTTTAGGTATAGTATTTATTGAGTGTATGAAGATACTTTCAAATTGTATTTATTCCTAGAATGCATTTAGTCCTGTGATTGCTCTTCCTAATATCAATGCATGGACATCATGTGTACCTGAAAATAAAATATCAACTAAATCTGATAGCCTTATTATTTTGTATAATAATCAATTCAAAGTTGAAACATAAATAATGGCATGGTGTAAGCATTATAATAATAACGTTTGTTGGTTAAAGTACAAAATATACCCTATTTCACGAGTAACCATCACGGTAGAATGACAGCTGATTATCTAGTAATATCTCAAAAATACCCCATATAGGCACAGAACACAATTCTGACAGATCCGTCAATCCCAGGTAGGCAGAGCCATACTTTGTTTTGGTTTTTTGAACGCTACAGATTCATTTTGTACTTGCTACAAGCTCTTTTATGTAGAAAATTACATTTGCATACAAAAAACAAAAGGCTACAAACAATTTTTTGCTATATTTATACCCGATTCGTTATACCCAATGTTGCAGACTAACACAAAAATGTCACTAGCTGATCAGCTGTTTACCTCAGTAGACGTCAAAGCGTGATGCATACTCGTGTATGATATAGCAGAGTAGTGATAATAGAAATTCTATAACGCATCTATGTGACGAATATGGCAGCTCCTAACATGATCTGAGCTTTCAACAGTCACAAGAGAAAACTATTTTGCAAGTTATAGATATACTGTAAGTTGGAAATGCATTAGCATACATACCTTCATATGTATTTACAGCTTCTAAATTCATCGCATGCCGTATTATGTGGTATTCATCGTGAATTCCGTTACCTCCTAGCATATCTCTTGCTTCTCTCGCTATAGCCAAGGCTTTGCCTGCGTTATTCCTTTTGAGCATTGATATCATTTCAGGTGTATGTCTGCAGCAAGGAAAGTAATGTAATATTAAAATGCAATGAGTCTATAACATTAAAGTTATATGAAGTTACAGGTTCGTATGTGTCGTTCGTTTTGAGGATCGATTAGAAGATAGCAACCTAATACTATATTCCTGCGACCAAAGAATAATTATCCGAGATAAAATGAGATACAGTAGCGCCATCTATGAGAATTTTATCACAGCTGTTTCTATACTTATTGTGTATACTTTGAATAGGTTAGTGTCTCATAGATGGCGCTGTATCCGCATATATGCAAAACATTAGATTGGCTATCTTTCGCAGGGTATTTAGGTTAGGAAAATTTGAAACATACACATTTCTCTTTCGATACTATTAAGCTGAAGCGTGTAATCTCTCGCGGCTGGCCTTTCTGCCATTCTGGGTTTCATAATTTTATAAAAATTGCACTTTTCCTTTGTGATTTTTCAATTTAATGAAAACAGAAAGATGTTGTTCTTGAAACCTGTAAAACGTCTCCTAGGTAAATGATTTTTATTTTCATACGCGCCCGATTACACGACTCAATTTAGTATGAAAAGATAATTCTCAGTTCGAAATGTCCTAACCTCAATCCCCTGCAAACCCGTCTTAGATCAAACGGCTAGGTGTGTCACAAATTAATTTCAAGTTCTGCATCTTGATCATGTACATGTATGAACCAAAAGCTCCATGATCCACCATTTCTGATCTAAAAATATATGATGTCAACACATATTAAGCTTTCATTATTTTTGACGACTCATAATAAAATCGGTGTTGGTGTTATCAATTTTACTAGGTAGTTTTAAAAACTTACAGATCCTTGTCTTTGAGCCTCCCGACTTGCAAACACGGCCGTCAACCCGAGAGCGATCTCCGTGGCCATGTCCGCCATTTTCTTCTGCATGAGCTGCGTGTTGGCCAATGGCCTTCCAAACTGCTTCCTGTCCAGGGTGTACGCCCTGGCATAGCCCAAACAAGCTTCCGCGGCACCCATCGCCCCCCAGGCGATGCCGTATCGGGCGTTGTTCAGGCAGGAAAACGGACCGCGCATTCCTGATACCTTGGGCAACAGGTGGTCTTCGGGAACTTTGACATTGTCTAGCAGGATCATGCCTGAAAAAGTACTTCCTTATTAGTGCGGTTTCGATTTACATCCTTTGCAATAAACTGATGGTTTTTGGTTGTTGCATGGTGCAAATTTAATCTCGCGTATGGCATGTGCTGCAATGCTGTGACAGTCGAAATCAAGCCCGAAATAAACATAATAGTTATCAGATGAATATAAAAAATCTAAGTCGTGTACTTTTGAAATTATTTGAATAAATCAAAAAGAATCGGAAAAATCTACACTATGGTGATCTTTTATATCCCATTACTACACATTTTATTTTTTTTCTAGACGGAGTGATCCATTCCGCGTAGGGTCAGCAAGACAGATAGTAATTTCACTTTTATCACAGGGTGTAGATTGTTCCTTTTTTTTTGACAGCCTGTAATTTGAAAAGTAAGCTTATATTTTTTATTATTTTTCTGATGGCTATTATGATTTAGTTTATCCCCCGTTTCCGGCTTAACGTCGACTTCTGCGATACCCTGTATATGAAATTTATACAGAAATTACCAAACTAATTATTTGGCATCATAAATACTAAAAACAAAAAATGATTGAAATAAAAATAGATCTTTAAAAACAAGCTTTTGTTCAAAAAAATTAACTGAAAATTTAAAAATAATCTGTTGCAGGATGAAAAAAGGTGTAACACGCTTTCAATTGAAAAATTGAGATGAAGGAACGTCAACATCGTTTAAATATTTCCAATCTGAAAAATTATTCTTAATCTTTTAGTTAGTTTTATTATTATCGGTCGCATGCGGCAACTTGCACAATCTGGCAACTATGTAGTATCTAGAAAAAGAGGCACTTGACATTGACATAAATCAACCGTGTTGCCCTGTGGATAGCATGTAATTAGACCTTCTTAAGGGTATACGTTTTGTGGAGGATAGATAGATAGAGCCTAGACTGCCGATAAGTAGCCAATGAGCACGAAACAGCTGTCGATGGTTGGCTGTCTTTGGTCGAACGGATGAAAGCATCATGTTTAGTTTTTAAATACATACCGGTCTGTGATGCTCTCAACGAGAATTTCCCTGTTATTTTAGGGGCTTCAAGTCCTTTACCATGTTCCTTTTTGTTAACTATAAACCCTCGAACTTTCTTATCATCACAGCGTGCCCATACTATAAATATATCTGATATCGGCGAATTCGTGATCCTGAAACACACATTGATCAATTATTTATTATTATTTAAACGGCCTATTTTAAAAGTTACCATGTTTTGGCTCCGTTTAAAGTGTACGTTTTTGAAGCTTCGTCGTATTTTGCGTTTGTTTCCATGGTTCCAATATCGCTTCCATGGTTGGGCTCAGTCAGGCCAAAGCATCCAATTATTTCACCTACAGCTGAAAATGATTGAAAAAATTAAACTATAAATTAATTAGATCATGACCTCGATCTTCAAGGCAATCAAAATCAAACAAATCTTGAAATTTCTTCAATACACATGCTATAAATGACCTTCAAGTTGAATAACTAAGTTACCAATTTTTTTTATTCCTGGGGTTATGCGATCTTTGTGTCAAACCTTTTACGGCAAGATTCTGAGTTTTTCAGAATCGTGCAGTTCGCACAGGTGATTGAGCTTATTAAAAATGAATGAAATTTCATTGAACCTAATATCGACTTTATAACCTTATGATATTTATAAAAAAATCACCAATTTGTATGTTCGATGCCAATATTGCAAGGTCTCATTTGAATCTTTCAAATTAACGACTTCTTTAAATTTTCAAGGTCGTGTCCAAGGTCACCATCTTCGAATCCCTAGAACTAGATCATCTTCTCACCTAACTGTGGAATGTATCTTTGCTTCTGTTCTTCAGTACCCCATTGGTATATTGCGCCCATAACCAGTGACGATTGTACACTAACTGCAGACCTATATGAGCTGTCAACTCGCTCTACCTCTCTTGTGAGGAGACCATACGACACACTAGAAACACCGGCACAATCGTACCCTTTGATGGTGCAACCAAGGACTCCTAACTGGCCGATTTCCTTCATTATTTCTCGATCGAAAACTGGAAAATGCAATAAAAAATATCGTAATATTTATTCTTCATCATATCCCGTATGTTTTCAGAAATAGGTACTGTCCTCGCATGCCTAAGAGACGCCGTGGTGCAACTATAAAGTGATTGGAGATGCAGTTGGTTTCACTTGAATGCAGACAGATACGGCATCAAGCAGCTTAAAAGTATAGAGAAACAGTGGCATGGGTAGAATTGAATTTGCTCCTAACAGTCGATTGTGAAAGCTGGTTGGTATCTGGCGCTGTAGTCTAATTGATTAAGGTTGAGCAAATGCGGCACCCATTTTTGTTATCTCTCAAGTTGTTTTTTACTAAATATACTCGCTGTTGCGGATACGCTCATCCGAATCGTATACAAGCATTTGGACAAACAAAAATCGACAACAAAAAAATGCTGTCCCTTACCTTCATTGCGGTTGGCCTCCACGATCCTAGGCATTAACTTTTCTTGGCAGTACGCCCTGAACTGGTCTCTCATTAGTATTTCATCTTCGGTAAGTTGTGATTCTAGGTTCAAAGGATCTTCCCAGTCAAATGTTGCTAAAACGAATACGTAATGAAATAAGGTTCTTAAAACGGCATGTAAAGTCCGATAGATTGAACCGAGAATATATGGATCAGACCTCTCCGATAGTACTGATATTAGCGTGGTACATTTATTATAAAAAGCTTGATGCTGATGTCTTTCATATGATATCACCAGTCGTATAATTATTACCCTACAATTTTAAGCAAGAAAATGGTCTTCTAAATATCAATACCTCAGAAGAGTATTCTAGGTTCAGTACTCATTCTATTATGACCGATGTAACAGTTGCAGCATTTGCAGATGATAAGCGATTGATTTCTGCTTACATTGATCTATCTAAGTTGGTCAAGTCCATGCCAATACCGATAATTTAGTGAAATGGACAGAGGTGGAAAATCACACGTACATTTAAATAGCGCGAATAACACCATTGGAGCCAAATGTGACACTTTCAGTGTTGATATTAGTTAGTTTGAAAGATTTTATTATTTTATCTAATGCTCAGGTTACGCCACTGTCTCGTTACTCTTTTAACCTTGGAAGTCTTTAAGTTGGGGGTCCTTTATTTCACATTTATTGGCAATTTATTTTTGCTCGACATAATTCTTGCATCAAATTGATGACTTAAAAAAATAAAAAGCCGGGAGGGTGGCATTTAAGATGTATACTAAAATATGCATAAGATTCCTTTGACAAAATCTTTTTGATATCGCGGAGTTATGAATCACCCTGTAGCGATAGGCATATCTTCTAAACACATTTGCCTATAATTTTTGTAAATAACTCTTTTAGATATCTCTTACAATAGGTAACGGAGCTTTCGACTGATTACACACCAAAGATTCGCCTTGAACGTCAAAAGCATTATCAAGTTCTTCGTAATAATTCTTTAACCTTTGACCACAATATGACAGCAATAAAATGTATATTAATAATAACATGTTTTTCCAGCCCAATTGATTTTTCACGATCACTATATACTATGAACAGTACCATCAGCATTTACTGATAATTCCGTCAGTTTCATCAGAGGCATTACATAAAAAAATCCATATAATGTAATTAAAAATCGGTATAATGTCAACCTGTGAATCAGCTAGTCGCTAGTCAGACCAGGTGCACCCGCTGTGAATGCCACCTATAGAGGAATGCGTCAACCACTTATAGTATAGAATTTACTGCTCAAATCAAAGCAGCTATAATGCCCACACACTAGTCCCATCTCTGAAGCAGATGTTACAACACATCAAAGCCAAACCACATGGCTCAAGTGTTATGACGTTTAGGCAACCTAGATAACAAGTGCAAGAGGAGATGAAGTGAATGACAGCTAGTTCTAAGGTGAAATTTTTCAGGAAAACCTACATAATGTTATTAACCCTTAACCGGAAATGTGCCGTCTGTGAGACTGCGGCGTTTCTATACCTGAGCGTATCTTTTTTTATTGCACCTCTAACAGACGTAAGAACCCATCTAATCCATAAGCTATTAGTGACCATCGCCCACCCCCATTCACACGAGTCTAGCCAAAACGTGCCTTAAAATATGGACCAATTTTAGTTTGTTGCAGTCTGTCAGACGGCACGTTTCCGTTCCCGTTTGCTATTTGTGTTGCATAGGTGCGTTTGCGAGTATGGCGGGACCTTCTAAACGTGTACGATACGATGATCCGGAGTTCGAAGAAACCGTTCTAAAATGGTTTGAGGATGAAGGAAGTGACTTTAGTGATATAGACAGTGCCTCAGAAGACGAATACATGGAATCAGATCATACAAGTGATAGTGAGTTATCAGAAGACGGAGCCGAAGGAAATGAAGAGGATTTACCAGCTCAGAATTATTTCTATGGAAAAAATCGTCATAGGTGGAATATTTCGGAAGTTGTACCATCATCACGTACAAGGAAGCACAATATAGTCATTAAAGTACCAACTCTAAGAGGAAAAGCTCATGAATATGGAGAAGAAGCTGCTCCGTTGACGGTTTGGCAGCTTTTGTTCACTGACGACATGTTGGTACATATCGTTAAGTGGACCAATCACAAGCTCAAAGAAATGCGAAAGAGATACAAAAATCAAACCAGCAACCTAAACGACACTGATTTAGTCGAAATAAAGGCACTATTGGGTCTCTTAGTATATACATCGGTGTTCAACAGCAACCACGAGAACATTGAAACACTTTTTGCCACCGATGGCTCTGGAAGAGATATATTCAGAGCTGTCATGAACATAAAACGATTTGGTATTCTCCTGTCAGCCTTAAGGTTTGATAACCCAGATGACAGGAATGAAAGAAAGAAGCTAGATCCAGTAGCACCAATATCTTTCATTTTTAATAGTTTTATAAAGAACTGTCAAGATGTGTACGGAGTTGGCCAGTCTGTCACTGTCGATGAAATGCTCGTGAGTTTCAGAGGAAGATGTCGATTTAAAATGTATATGCCTGCGAAACCTTGCAAATATGGCATAAAAATTATGGCATTGACGGATGCAAGGAATAGCTACCTCTATAACGCATATACTTTGAAGTTGAGTCATTAATTTTCAGATAATGATTGTAGAAGGAAGATAAACCAAAATATGTGTGTAAAATAAAAAAATAAATAAAAAAAAAATGTTACCTTGTTTAATAAAGTATCGTCCCGACAAGTATTTCAGTGCGGACCTGTATTTGATCGTGCGGTATTGGAGCAGCATGCCCTGACCTGTGAGGTCTTAAGTCACCTGATTCACGAGCACTTTGTACTACATTAACAAAGGCACGAGGGGTTGGTTGCACTCGATTGGGAAACCGATTCGCATAAATCCGTGATGCATCCGGGAGCATTTTGTAAAGACTGCCCCCCCGTAAATAAGAATCATGTCCACAAGTTCAGCATTTTCGTAAACATGTGCCATTTTTGATTTCGTTTGAGCCACGCAACAAACACTTACTATTTATTCACTAACGCGTTATCGACTGACGAAAACCATCGTGATAAACGTTTCAAATTCTTTCGCTTTTTTGTTTCCGATGCGATGAACCGGTCAGGCGGATTATATCCGTTGTCGCCAAACACGAACATATTATTATTGAGACAGGGCAGTACTCAAACTTCCAAAGGGCTATAACTTTGTTACTTTAATTTTACCAGAAAAATGGTAAAGGAAAAAAACATTTCTTTTGATCAGATCTACTCACTGTTAAAATAAATGACTCAACTTCGAAGTATATACTGCGGTAAATATTCCGATAGTTTCGAACTTCCTGAGGTAGCGGTATTCCAAACCCACACAATCAGTTCTACGTCTCGCGAAGCCTCTGTTTGGAACTAATCGCAACATTACAGCGGACAACTGGTTTACGTCAATAGAATTAATGGATGTCCTATTGAAGAACAAACTGACCTATGTGGGTACAATGAAGAAAAATAAAAGAGAAATTCCTCCGGCATTTTTACCCAACAAATCAAGAGAAGTCGGATCAACAATGTACGGATTTCGAGAAGATTCCACTATTGTATCTCATGTAAGCAAAAAAAATAAAGCCACAATACTCATCTCTTCTATGCACCACAGAAAATATTGTGATCCGGAAACACAGAAACCGGAAATAATAGCCTATTACAATGCTAATAAAGGTGGAGTTGATTCTCTTGATGAAAAATGTTCGAAGAGTACCTCAAGTCGCCGTTCGCGTAGGTGGCCACTGGTTATTTTCTACCGACTATTGGATATATCGGTAGTGAACTCGTATATTTTACACCAGTGCTATAAGAAAAATGAATTGCAGAAGGAAAAATCGGTATTTGCTAAGATGTTGGCCGCTAACCTGGTCCGTGAGCATATGGAAAAGCGACTAGAGAGTCCCCGTTTACCTCGGGATTTGCGACTTACGATAAATCGCATCCTTGGCAAATGTGAACATCCAGCAACAGAAGCTGAAAATTTGGTTTTGGAAAAAAGGAAAGCCTGCTTTTTATGTCACCGAACGACCCATCGGACGACCAAATTTTTGTGTGTACAATGTAGGAAGCCTGTATGTCTTCAATGCTCCAAACCCAAATGTTTTAGCTGCATAAATATAGGCAATGTTTGAGACTTGCAGTGAATTTTGATTGTGTTCTTTTTGTATTTATTGACTATAATATACTTTCCTTGTTCATTACTTAACTAGAAAATAGAAAAATATTGAGACTTTTCCATAGTTTTAATTTAGTTTCTGAATGTTGCAACAACAGCGTTATTTTTGTATGGTTTTAGCATAGTTAATAAAAATGTTTCTTTTATGTTCTTGTATCATTTTGAAATGAGCATTTTACGTATTAAACACATAAAATAAACATCCAGTATCAGTTTCAGCGAAGTTATTGCTTGCTTTTCGCCTTACTCTAATTTTTTGAACATCTTGAAGTTCGCAGTCTGAGAGACGGCATGTTTCCTTTTGTGTTCCAAAAATTCACGTTTCCTGTTAAGGGTTAAAAGATCAGTATGTCACAGGGTTAATAAATATCACGTTCAGTTGTGCTCAGCTACTTCGTGAAATATGGCTTATTCTGGATGTTATATGAATGAAAATATTCAAAACCTTGGTATTGATTGACAGAGATCACGTATTGACCCATCGGATGCAACATATTATGATGACCTGAGCTATATAGTTGAGCTTTAACATTGATTTGTGAGCAGTAATCTGTCACTTTGAAATCCTTCATGTTTTTTTAAATTCTACAACATATTATTTAAACTTTTGAATAAATTTTTTGGGCTCAGAAACATCACCCTTGTTAAAGCCTCGTCTTCTAAATGGAACAAATTAATCTTCAAGTTTCTCAATACTAAAACTATATTTTGATTGCCACCCGTACTATATGAAATGCAGATTCCACTTACATGTTAAATAAATAAATTACCTTAGAGAACTTACCACCAGTCACTGACGCCTTTTGTGAGAATAATTCTATATAAGTTAGTCAAGGAAAGTTCAAACCTATACCGTGGAAATTATAAGCTTATTATACATGAAAAGGATACTTTTGGCTACATTTTTCCTGAGCTTTTTCAGCCCCAATCGGCTTAGTTGTCTAGCTTGGTTCAGAGACATCTTTTCAAAATCAACACTGATGTCTCCAATATTATAATACGTTCACAGCACTGGGTCAACAATACGCGTCGATCATCATTGACCTTACATCCATGGAATATTTACGCTATAGTGTTATCTAAAAGACAGGTTAGGCAATCTCACACATCATCGTATTCTGTAATGGGTACCTAAATAACTATACTCACTGTTGAATATTTTTTTGGCGAACAGCTTTTCAAAAGAAGCACGCAATGATTGAATTTAATACTTATCTTTTTCGAATCAAAGAATATTATGTTTGTTGCTTTAAATTTCATTTTCTTTCGTGCTATCGCATATTAAATGTAAATGTTTAGTGAAAGTGAGACCAGATAGACGATTAGCTATTTATATGTTGGCCAGAGGCGTGCTCATTTTGAATTTTTACGGTGTCAACCCACTGGAGATTCCAGAAATGTGGATTAGAAGGATTAAGGCGGCTCCGACGCAGTGAGTTTCAAGCCATTTACACGGGTTCAGCTGCTTCGAAACTGACACTCCATTTTTCATACAAATTCATACAGTATGTTCAGAAGATAATTGCCTAGGGTGCTATAGGAGCAGTTTTTGTTTTTTTTTTTTGCACAAGTTTTATGATGGGTTGAGGTGCGCACTTTTACTGTTCAACTTCGAGATTTTTTTAAAAAGAATCTAGTGAAAAAGTGGCTCTATAGCACACTGTGGGGTTTAGTTTTCAGCACACTATGAAAATTTCATTCAAAAATATCAAAAAATAAAGCGTCAATTTTGAAGCGCGCAAACCTCTACAAATTGTATTTTGGACGAATTTTGATTTTAAACCTGCATTTTCATTTGAATTTCATGACCCGTGAAATGTATCCAATTCGCCGTCACCTTCAATTTGTGTTCTGCAGTTCGTGATGTTTTTCTGGAAATAAGCAGGACATAATTGCCTAAGGTGCTATCAGGGCTTTTTACAAAATTTTGAGTTTGTGCAAGAATTATGGTGGGTTGAAATGCTTACTATTTGTGCTCAACTTCTTGATATTTTAAAAAGATCCTACTGGATAAAATCGAAAAAGTGGATCGTTAGCATCCTGTGGACTTTGTTTTTAGCACGCTGCAAGAGTTTAATTTGGAAATAATGAAAAATGAAACGTAAGCTGTGAAGTGCAAATCTGTTTTGAGCGAAATTCGTCTACTGTTTCGTCCTGCCAATCCAAGCGACGCGACGGTGCGTTCCGACTAAGAAAAAATGTATTCAAATAATTTGATATCCTTAGTAAAATAAAT